CAGAGTCAGTCAGAGTTTTGCTGTTCAAACCAAATAAAAGAAACAAAGCCTTACTTCAATCCATAGATCTTCATTCACACTCAAAGATACTATTTTAAGCATCTGATATATCATTAGGGCTTCTTAAATGTAACACATCAGGACATCAACTTTACATATTATAAGTGGGATCAAGTGTGTATTCCATAAAAATGATGAAAACATTTTGCTTACCTTAGACTGTCAACCTTTAATCAAGTAAAACGCTGAGCGCCGTACCTGCCAGCAGCCTCACCTCCATTAATAAAGCTGGTCGATCCACCAAACATGGGATGAGTATCTGGAGAAAGAATGCACATTAAAAAAGTGTTGTCCTAATTGGGCAGAATGTGCTGCTGCTATTTGTTGCTGTGACCTTGTGACAAACAAGGCGAGGACGGTGCATGGTCCAAAGAAAGGGGAGGGCATGAGGTGTAGTTCAGGGACAGGCTGGATTTCAAGGGACCCCTAATTTATTTACATTAATCATAACAGGTCGGTTTTTAAAATGTTTTAAGAGCAACTGTGTGATTTATCAGTGTGATTTATTTTTTGTGTGTTGCTCCTTTTGTTCAGTATGTCATATATAAATGTCCTTTACATTGCCATGTGCAAATGTTTACCTCCGTCGTCCTTCTCTTTGGTTAAAACTTGAAGCTGATTTGGTGGAGTCGTGATTCTATGTGGCTGCGTTTGTTCACATGAGATGAATGTTTGGTTACTACTGCTAATAAGCTGATGAAGATTCTCAGTCATCCAGATCAAGGTAAATTTAAAAAAGGGTTTAAAAAAAAATGGGTTGTTGCAAAACTTTTTTTTTTACCTGTTTTTTTTTTAGTTATTTACTGCTAATACGTTTGCAAAAATAACCACAATATGGTATATTGCTTCATACTAACCACCAAAGAATCTCTTTAAAGTCAGATTTGACATAAGAACTAAATGTTTCTGAAATAAAAGTTTGTTAGAAACAGGAGAATCCACCACCTTCCTTCATTTTCACTTTTTGGTATGAGTTGATTTGGTGCCAGTGTTTTATATTTCAAACAGAAGGATGTCAAGCGTCAGATTAATGAACGAAACTAAATCCAATTTGGTCTTTTAAAGTTGTGGTTGGAGAAGAACTCTGGACTTTTTATGTTCCCTGATGAAATGATGGCGTTCAGATAAGGTCAGTCCTGCACAGAAGTCATTGCTAGAAAGTTCATCTGGACCTGCCATTCTGTATTTGTCTCTCCTTCCTGTCCCCTCAAACCCCAGCTGGTTGAAGCAGATGGCCCCTCGTCCTGAGCCTGGTTCTGATGGAGGTTTCTTCCTGTTAAAAGGGAGTTTTTTCTTTCCACTGTCTCCTTTGTGCTTGCTCAAGATGAGAGACTGTGATGAAGTGAAGATTCAACGCAATCCGCTGCTTCCTTTGATTAAAAAAAAACTTTTATTAATTGGCTTTTATAATGTATGTGAATGTTTCTGTTCAGTGCCCTGAGATTACTGCTGTTGCGTCTCGGTGCTATATAAATAAACTGAATTGAATTGCTGAAGCAGTGTAGAGTGACTGTCGCTGAGTGAAAAGTAAAGTCAGACTCTGGATTGTCACTCACCACTGCTCTGCTGCGCTGCCCAGGAAGGTCTGCACCCTTTGTCTCATAGGGCCGTGGCATTGTTCCCTCTCCTTTGGCCTTGAGGACAAAGATAACCCTGTGAAATTCTTGTCTGGATTCTTCCTCCCGATTGTGAAGGGCAGCCTTTGAGGGCAGTGATGAAGCTGAACTGCAGTTTGTGATGTCATGATGGACAGGAGGAAGCAGGTGTGCTGCACCCAAAATGTCTCCGTTCAACCTTGTCTGTATTCCTGGCCATTATATAGTTTCATGTGGTTTGAAAGGTGACTGAAACATGTCTTATTCATGCTTAAAGATAATAAATATGGTTATAGTTTTAATCAAATTAGGTATTGACAGATAAAGTAAATGGAAACGGTAAAATAAATAATAATAATGAGCTTCTTTACTGTAGTGGAACTGAAGAGCCCAAGGGGTTTTGTTTCATAATTACATTTAGTCATTTAAAATGAGTAATCATCACTCGACGGAGTGCCATGTACACTTTACATCACCCCAGCTCCAAGGTCAACATCTCAAATCAAGGTCAAAGTTAAAACAAAGTCTTTGCTTGTCTGGACAATAACTTCTGATCCACTCAAGATAACTGAACAAATCTTCAGCCGTATTTGTTCCACCACTATACGGCATGTCACGTAATCTTTTCTTAACCTCAGCTACAAAGTCCAAGGTTATTCAAGGTCTTTGTTTGTTTGAGCCATTGCTATAGATTGTTGTGTAACAGTTTGTCGGCGGGCGTATAATGTGCATGAAGTACTTTTGTTCTGTACTTAGAACCTAGAGTGAAATTTCATTCTTACTGCTTAAAATCTTTATTTTTTCTGTAAGGGAGGTAAATGAGATTAAAGATGGATGCGTAGATGACGTATTTGTATTTGCTGATTATCAGACACACGCTCTTTATTTTTGCTTGTCGCCAAAAGTCAAGACAGGTGACAAAGTTTCTGTCTGTCCCTCTGTGTTGTGCATGTGTGCGTGCTTGTGTAAGGAAATGAGTCACCTAACACCGACTGTCCCTTTATTAAGAGCGTAGAGCTTGCAAGCCATATAACAATCTTCATCCTAACACCACCGTGGACCCTGTAAAGGTTGATCAGAATCTACTTTCACATTATTGGACTTACGGTCATTCTCAGCTGTTTAAATCTCTGTGGAGAACTTACTGCTCCCCCCCACCCACCCACCCCCAACACACACACTACTGGAGTTCATCCCAGACTGACTGTGTGACTTGAGGTGAGACCGATTGTTCTTTGGTTTGCAGGGGTTCCCAAACTTTTCTACGCCATGGCCCCCAAATAGCATTAGCTTCTGGCCAAGAGGGGGGCCTCGGCCTGAAGCATATTTTGTAGCAGAAACAATGCTACAAAATATGCAAAGAAACATCAACATTTTAACTTGTATTCATTATATGCAATTAATCATTACAGCTGCTGAGCATAAAGATTTTATTAACTAACATGTTTTAAACTCTGTATTCCATTCCTAATGAAAACAACAACAACTTTCAACAAACTGTTGACCAGAAGAACAAAACAAAAGAAATCTAACTTCTCTCTCAAGTGTGTTTATCTGGAACTGACAGATACAGATTGCCCTAGTGGGTAATTTTATTATTATTATTACTATTTTTTATTTTTGCCTTTTTTTTATCTTCTTCTATCCAGCTTTCTGCCCCCCCCCCCCCCCCCCCTGGCAGCCCCCACTTTGAAAAACACTGGTTTAAAGAACAAAGCTGGTCCAAATTTCTGCTAAACACAACAGCCCTGTTTATTAAGCAAGCTGAACTGGTGACAGCATTAACAGTTTATCACTGACTCAGAAAGCAATCAAACAACGATTAGATAATTATGTTTGTATTCATAGATAAAAAATAATAACACTGTGCTGTTCATCTGTTGTCCTGTAATCTCCTGGCAGATACTGAAAATCTTTAAAGGATAAAGCCATGTGAGACCAAGGTCATCACTTGGAATAAACTCATACAGCGTCTGCTTCACTGCCTGTCGTCTGCTCCTCTCCGTCTCCTTTGTGCGGCAGCAGATGCATAACGCACGGTAAGCTTTAGCTAAATGTTCAACGACTGGTTTATTTTGTGCATAGGTAGAGGTTTTAAGTTTAACTTTTTATAGAATATTGATTATTTTTAACAAATACAAGTATTTCTCGCAAAAAAAAGAAGAAATATCTGTACTATATAGATGCATCTTGGTGTAAGCAGCAGTGATTTTTGGATTTTGAGGTGTTAAGCTGTCCAACGTGGAATTAAGATTTAACATAATCTACAAGTGTCACGTAGCTTTACAAATATTTTTACAACCTGAGTATACATAAGGTCATTTATAGCACATATCCCACATTACATAATGGTAAATACAGGCAAAATTAGATGAGCTGTGCTCAAATATTATGCTGTTTATGAATTCTTTATTATTTTATTTCTAGAAACCCTTCATGTTAACTGCAGCAAGCTACAAAACAGTATTTTGAACAAAGAATTAACTGCATCAGTTATGCTAAAATTTTGTTCATTAAGGTCAGAGCATTTAACAATTATTCTGCACATTGTAACAAAACTTGCTGTAAATATGGAGTAAATATTATGCCATGGGAATGAATGTAACGTTGTATTTTTAGCAAAATAAACTTTTTTTTCCTCCAGAAACTGTCTTTATTTTACAGAGCAAAGTGTATATAAAAGTCTCATTATTATTATTATCATTATCATTATTTTATTATTATTATTGTTGTTGTTATTATTGTTGCTCTATAGTTTAGAGTATGAAGCAAGATACAAATAAAATAAGCATTTTTTGTTGCAATGGTTTATCTTTAACAGCTGAAATTCAGAATAACAGTTTCTTTCAACTTTATCACTGGTGGAGGTATAGAAATATTTTTAATAAACCAAATAATCAACGACATGATGACAACCCAAGCAATGTAAACAATTATTATACCTTGTTTTTCCACATATTTTAAACATCTGAATATCTATAATTTAAAGATATGTTATAAGTAATCTCTTTTACGTTTAATTAAATTTGTGGTTGTCATCTCAAGATCACCCACTTGGTTTTTCCCATAACTGTGGAAACTACCGCTGACAGCAAGTTATTTATGTTTCCAGTAAAGTTAACATTATGTACATATTTAATTTGAACAAACAAATTACAAATGATCAATGTTTATTTTTCACAGATCAGACAGAGTAAAATATTTAAGCCAAAGACAGACGAAGGAAACAGAAATGCTTTAACCACAAATATTATACTTTATTGGAAATTTTTCACATATTTTTGCCATGAGTCATAAAAATTACAATTTTTAGATGGAAATTTTAAAGACTATAGAGCTTTAAAAATATAGTTTATTTTTTCTGGGTTATAGATGCCGTTGAGCCTCTCTTTAGCCCATCAGTTGTTCCATATTGACACAATATGAATAATTGTTAAGCTGCAGGTTTTCCTCTTGGTTGATTCATGCAGGCTTTACTGGGCAGTGATGGAAAAACGACTTTTATTTATATTTTTGTTTGCGTTTTTAGATATATATGTTTAACTGTTGTTTGAATGAAATGCACGGGTTTATATATTGTGAAGTAGCTGCTATGACCAAAATGACTGAGAACACTTTTTATAATTTTAATGCATTTTGTTTTATTCTACAGAGTTACTTTTCTCACTGAAGGAGACTGCAGCACATTAAAGCATCCCAAAGGTGTGAGGTGGCCGTCAGAAGGTTTCACTCCTCGTCTAGCCCTCTCTGTGAGGAAGAAAGACAAAAAAAAGGCATGAATTAGTGATAAAGAACCCAACAAGACTCAACTGGTTTTAAACAAAATGATCAAGAAATTATTAATTTTATATTAAATTAGATTATTGTTTCTTACAGGTTTCCTTTATTGTGGCAGCTTGACTTTAGAAATAAAATGTATCAGAAAGAAAACATAGATGACAATACTTTAGTTTGAAACAAAGCTTAATTATTTGCAGGATTCAATGATCATTTAGTCTTTTTTAGGAAATCTTAATAAGATTTTAGGTAAGTATAGCAACACACCACTGCATGAAATTTATATTTATAGAATAGGTTTCCACAAACAAATGAAACATTTTTTCTAATGTCTAAATTTAATGTTTTGTTGGGTTTTTAACACCAACTTACTAATAAATTCACAATCAATAAAGCTCCAATTCCTACACCAGAACTAAACATTTTATACTTAACTTTTAAACACTGACTTCACTTTGAATATTAACAATAACAAAATAAAGCAAACTAATACAACTCGTGAAATCCAAATAAAAAATCAAATTGATTTGTACAAAGACTGGCCTTATTGATTTACTTTTATTACCAATGAATATCCAGTTCGTATGTTGTTTTTATTACAAACAACTTGAAATATATTATCCTAAAATGATTATAAAGGTGATTAAATAATGTTTATGCAACGTGAAGAGCGCAGCGCTCAATATATCAGGTGTTGTGGTGAAAATCAGAGAAGTCTGACCTTTGACCCCACATCGCGGCTCTTGACGCGCAGCTTGTTGACCTGAGACTCGGCGATGTCTGCTCTCTCCTCAGCCTCGTCCAGCTCGTGCTGCAGTTTGCGAAACTTGCCCAGATGAGTATTGGCCTGCTCCTCCTACAAGATTTAGAAATAAATCAAACATTAGATCAAAACATCTCGCACAAATGTTTCGAGTCCACCTGATTCTCAAAAGAGAAGCTGTGATAAGTGTTCTTGGTGTAGCTGTGAAAGTGAAGCAAAAGAAAATAATAAACTGAAGTTAGGTGATGTCAGAGCAGCTTCAGAAGTACAAGGTCCCAGTAAAGGTTGTTTTGAAGATGGGGTTTTATGGATAAAGTAAGAACAGCGTTTAGGCTCTAACTCCAACCACATGTGAAGTAAGAAGGATCCCACTCACAGCTTCCTCAGCAGCTCTCTTGTATGCTTTGACCTTCAGCTGCAGTTTGTCAACCAGGTCTTGCAGACGAGCAACATTCTTTCGGTCTTCCTCTGTCTGTAAATTTTATAAGAAAAATATAAAAATTGTAATTAGAATATTCTTCTTTGTGTAGTGAAGACATACAGTCTATTTTATTATTATCTTTTTTTTACCATGTGCACAATGATCAATCTTTGGAAACGAGGACTCCTATCAAAAACAAATGATTCACTAGTTAAAGTTTACCTGATAGGTGAGCTCCTTAATGCGTCTCTCGTATTTGCGGATTCCCTTCACGGCTTCGCTGCTCTTCTTCTGCTCCGCCTCCACCTCATTCTCAAGCTCCCTCACCTAAAAACATCAAACATCATTTGTCTTTAATCTGCTTGATTTGTGGAGCTTGAGAAAAAGTTGCAATGAACAGTCAATTTCTACATTTCTGAAGCTAAAAATAAATGTTATTGTTCACACAAGATGAGAAACAGTAGAAAGACAAAGTAAATGACTGCCTGGTGAAGAAAGTGGTTATTAAAAGTCAACATGTTATAAACAAAAAAAGTTAGATCGTGTCATCTGGACCAGTTTCTTTAAGTGAGAAACGTTTCATCTCCCATCCAGAAGACTTCCTCAGTCTGCGACCTGTCCACAAGTTCTGTCCCGCAGGTAGCCTTCACTGCTGCGTTTCAAGCCAACCTCTTGTTGTAAGAAGTATGCTTTTAACACGTGCAAACAGGGCACACTCGTCCAAACAATCAATCATCATGTACAACAATCAAATGTTTGGTTGGCTCGCCGCAGACTGAGGACGAAGTCTTCCAGATAGGAGATGAAATGTTTCTCATTTAAAGAAACTGGTCCAGATGACACGATTTAACCTTTTTTTGTTGTTATCTGCCTGGATGTTGAGCTTACAAACCGTTATCAACATGTTATAAGTCAAAATCACATATATATCATATATACACATATACAATCACATATATTTATCAGTTCTCTCTTGTAAATGAGTCCTCGAAGCTCAATGGGATTTACCTGTCTAAATAAAGGCTGAATGAATGAATGAACATACAAAGTATATACCATAATTGGATGTATGATAACAGGTTTCCTGCTTTTTGGAATTGTCTGGTTCCTGGTTTATCAACATACAAAGAAGATGACTGCAGCTAATCTGGCCTGGTCAGGCTGCCGCCCATGTGAAGGTTTGCTCCGTGTCTCGAGCACCCAGACTCTATGGCTTAGCGGACTGGATCGCAAACTGGATGTGATTTGTGAGAATTGCAGGCCATATGCGGCCCCTAGGATTCGCTTTCAGGATGGATCAAACCTCGGGGAATATTCTCAGGCATGGACCAGCGGTGTGTCCATGTAATTTAGATGTTTTGGAATCTACATAAGACCAGCAAAGACTCGAGGCAAGATAAAATTCAGTAAAGTTCTGCTTGACTCCAAAACAAACGTTTATCTGAATTTGGCTCCCTCGGCTGGCCTTGAGGGCCTGGAGACTCTGTAATCTGATGCTCTGCCCTCCTTCTCTCCCACCAAGAAAGTCCACAGACCAACCAGGGGGGAACCAGCTGAATAAACATTGTGTCATCATTTCAGGACTTTTTGATTCTCACTGGCGCTGTCCTTTGCCATCCTCGACACCCCCTGGGGATGTTTACGGATCTCACCAGAGGGAACTGGCAGATTATTCTACCCTTATCAGAACTCCTACAGTGCCTCTGGGAGCGTCCTTGGACATTTTCACCACACTTGTCGTCCCCCCGTGGAATGTCTATGTCACCATGTGCTTGTGTGCGAGGAGGTTTTTTTTGTTCACTTCCATGCTTTTAATCTTCAGCCAGAGATTAAGAGCATGTTAGGATTTTTTTTTGTTTGTTTTTTTTGCCTCCAAAACCCATGTTGTCACTTTCACCACTTATTGTCTTTCCAAACAGGTCTCACTTGTAAATGAGTCTTTGAGGCTCAATGTGACTTACTGTTTAAATAAAGGTTGAAAGAAAAAGACATGTAGACATGTCCTTTTAGTGTAGTATGTCACTTAGAAGCTAATAAAAGCACAATGATAATGGCTGTATCATGTGAAAGTCACATGTCACACTGGTTACAATACTACTCCAAAGTCTGTATTTCACAGATTAAGAAGTGATTACACTTACCCTGGCCTCGAGCTTCTGCACCTGCTTCTTGCCTCCCTTCATGGCGATCTGCTCAGCTTCATCCAGACGGTGCTGCAGGTCTTTGATGGTTTGCTCCATGTTCTTCTTCATACGCTCCAGGTGAGCGCTGGTGTCCTGCTCTTTCTTCAGCTCCTCCGCCATCATGGCAGCATCAGTGATGGCCTTCTTGGCCTTCTCTTCAGCATTTCTGCACTCCTGCACTGCCTCCTCCACCTCAGACTGAAGCTGAGCTATATCACCCTCCAGCTTCTTCTTCTGGTTTATCAGGCTGGTGTTCTACATGTTATT